ACATTTTAAATATTTTATAATAATTTCAAAAATATTTAACTCCCTAAATTTGCTTCATCAGCATTCCCAGACCCTCGAGGGGGTGTCTTACTTAGCCTCGCTGTCTCTAGGCTCAAACTGAATTTTCTTTAGTAGGATCAAAATGGTCCATTGAAATCATTTCTATTAGACTGAGTTCCCAAAGACCTGGCCAAATTTTCATGATCTTTCCTATCAGATATCCTTTGTCTGTGGAGCATCCTGAAAGAATATATAAGCCAAGAATATTTTCAATCTGTGTAAGAAAAGTGATAACATCTTCTCATATGAAAGCTGCCAGCTTCCCAGATAGAAAATTCTGTCAGTAAGTAAAAGGTAGAAGATCAAGAAAAACAAGATAAATTGATCAAGTGTGCTTTAAAATGTCCCATAAATTTAAAAGCCCTTCTTCCCCCAGCTGATAATGGGAAGATGGAAGCCAGCTGTGTCCACAGAAACCTCATGTTTAATGTATGGAAGCACAGAGAGATCTCAAATGGGACCCCAAATCCTAGCTTCAGCAGCAACTGTCAACTCGTTAAAAATGCAAATTTACAGATCTCTGCTGTGGGAATGCAAGAGGACTGGGCAATAATCCCTGGAAATGATTCTGATGCCTCCTAGTTTGAGAAGCAGGGATGCACAAGTTGAAGTCTAGCCTCTGGAATCAGAGCGCTGGGTTTGACTACTAGAATCTGCCCCTGCTAAATACCGTGACTTTGACCAAGCTACTTAATTTGTCTATGTTTTAATTTCCTCATCTATAAAGTGAAGGTAATAATAGTTCCTAACTCATCAAACACTGGCAATAAGATAATACATGTAAAAGTCTGGCAAAATGCTTGACACATACTAAGTACTCAAGATATGTAAGCATTAATTCTCTCTACCATGGAGATTATAATAGATTTGCTTTTATTCCAGTGTATTCACCTATTTACTTGATTAGCACTTATTGAGCACTTGCCCCATGCCAGACTTAGGCATGTGATTACACAGGATTTTTGGCTGCCCATCAGAATCACCCAGGCAATGTTGAAGAAACCCCACGCCCTGACCCCTACCCCACAGCAAAACAAAGAATCTCTGATAGTGCCGCTTAAGCCTGGCTATGTTATAAAAGCTACTCAGGATATTTGAATCGAAGAAGCAACCTGCAAGCAAACATTAGAGCCCAAAGCCCAAGAAGTGGGGTTCGTTGTATGCACATGATGTCAAAAAATTTTAGGAGGGGTTGTCTGCCCCAGAAAATTTTCACAGACACTTTAACAGTCCTCTCCTGCTTTACAGATCTCCTTAGGAAGCACAGATCTCTTCCCAAATCTTCAGTGCTGGCTACCATGCCAACAACAAGGAGATGCAGAAGTTGGTTGATGCTACAAGAAGTGAGCTCTATTCCTGGGCCCTCCCTCAAAACCTGAGAGCAGCAGTTCAGGACAGAGGAGTAATTATACAGCCATCATCTCCATAACCGACTCTTGTAAGAGCACATTTCCCTAAATATATCGCCAAGCCTGAAGGCTAGACATAATGGTTTCATATACCAGTCTCCGAAGGGAGGAGAGACAGGGGCAAACCTTTTAAATTAATTAAAAGAGACACTCGGGCACACTTCATGCCATCCTTTAATCTCCATTCTCCTGTGATAAATATAGAATGACAGGAACAGGACCAGGCTAACGAGCTGAAGGCAGGACCCTATGGAGACTTGTCAAGCAGCCCTCAAACACTCTGCAGAAGGGCCCAGGGCTCAAAAATAGGAAGGAGGAGGAACTCGGCCCCTGACTTCTGCTGTGTTTCCAGGGTGCTCTAAAGAACGCCCACTGGGCCTGCATCCTGCCCTGCTCGGACTAGTAGCAGTTTAGAGGACACATAAAAAGGAAATAGCATGTTTTGTAATTTAGAAGTCAGAGAATAATAATAAAAACAGTGATGATTTATTGAGGGTTTTCTAGTGTCAAGCACTGTGCTAAAGGCTTCTCATGTAGTATTTTACTTAATTGTGATAATCAGCTTCCTAACAACCCTTGCCACTTAGTATACGCACCCTGTGGATTTCCTCTTGTTCACTGAATCAGAGACAGTACGTGTGACCAATAGAAAAGTCCAGAAGTAACTGTCGGTGACTTCTAATTAGATCACAAAAGGCGTTATCACTTCCAACATGACCTCTTGAATCACTTGCCCTGGGAAGTCAGCCATGTCATGTAGACACTTGAGCAGCCCTGTGATGCTACCCGCGTGGAGAGGACCCAGCCATGCGACCAGGCCACCTCAGAAGTGACCCGCCAGCTCTATTCAAGCCTCTAAGTCTTCCAGCTGAAGCCCCAAACATCACAGAACAGAGAAGCCATCAGCCCTTGGCCCTATCTGAATGGCTGACCCACGGAGCCCGTAAGATAATTGTTTTAAAACTAAGTTCTGTGATTAGTATGTGGCATAGCAAACTCATACCTAAGAGCTAAATACTCTTCCAGGTGATGAGAGTTGAAGTGATTCAGTCACAGGCTCAGTCAGTGAAATAGTGGGGATCTGAATCCATGTCTGCAGATTTGAAGTTCTGGCTTCATTCTGTCACACTACTCCTGACACATGCATATAAGGTGTGTAACTGATTTTGCATCCCTTTTATTAAGGGAAAAGTAGTCATTTCATAGGAATCTTTCAAGCACTTTGGTTGTTCCCAATATACTTTGTTCATCCTACATGGCAGCCACCATCATGCCTTGTATTTCAGCCATTTCTGTTTGGACAGATTAGAAGTTTCTGGAAAGTTTGTAGTAATGTCTTCCTTATGACGGCCTTGTAAACAGCATAAGGTTGTTGCTAGGATGTCACGTTACCCCTGTACTTGGCAGTTCTGCTCCACCATTTTCAGGCCAGGCGATCTTAGGCCAATGACCTCAATGTTATGAGCCTCCAATTCCTCACTCTTCCTGACTCTTATAACAGGGCCAATGTTAACACACACTTTTGTTTGCACTACATTAGAAAAATACTCAAAGTATTTAGCAAATTGACAAGCACAGAGTAAGTGTTCAATAAATGTTACCTATTTGAATTATTATTAAAATGTGTTGAAAAAATCCCACATTTTAAGTGGCCAAACGAAAGCTGATCCCCCCAATCGATCCTCCTGCGGAAAGAAGTTCCAAAGGCACAGCAGTGGTTCTGAGAATGGGGAAATTTCACTGTGCAGACACTGAAACCTTTGGAGACATCTTGGCCATGCTCTTGCGAGAGTTCAGCCTGCCCTGCAGAGTGAGGAGAGGATCGGGAAAGCTGCCTTTGCTTCCGCCGTCCAGTGGGACCTGTGCATACAGCAATTTGGCTCTTTCTTGCAAGAAGCAAAGTAAGGCAAGGAGGGTTTCCCTCCCCCGGGCCTTATCCACCAGGGAAGAGAAGGATTTTGCTTCCACCCTACTTCTTAATCCTATTACATTCTTATCATCTTGTCAGACAAAGCCCCTTAGCTCCTGCCAATATTCCCTCTAATGCCTTCCCCTGTGGTTCAGTCTTCCCTGGTCTTAGAGCTAGCAGGCTGTCAAATGTCTTACTGTCCCTTCAGATGATCTCTACTTAAGGGCTTCCAGTCCCACCTCCCTTTGAATTTACCTTTATGGCTCCTATTTTTTTCCCCTTGTGCATGAGAAAGTTTTCTGTGTAAAATTCTGTTTAGGGTCCAAAATGCTTCCACAACCTTCTACTTCTGGGTAAGATGAAGGAATGTGGGGGAAATGCCAGCCATATTTGCTCATTTCCAACTAAACACATATTCCTAGCACAGCAAGGTGCAGGGTTAAATTCTTGCGTGGATGGGGGGTGGGGGATGAAGATATAAGTGACTTCTCCACTGTAACAGAGGAGACTTTTACAAGTATTAATAACTAGGAAACAAAGGGCCAAGTGAAAGATGCTAAGAGCAGTAGGGACTGAGGGCCCAGGAGAGCAGAGGAAGGGAAAAATAGAAGATAAGGACACAGGGGAGCTGGAGCAGCAAGCCTGGGTGCTGGGTAGGGACTCTGAAGGATGAAGGAATCCTGCCCTGAGGAGGTGCGCAAAGGCAGGAAGAGCGCAGGAAGGAAAGGCAGGGAGGCAGGAAAGGTGCAGGCAGCTTTGCAAAATGCTACAGATTTATGGAGAAGCAGGGACAGAGATTGCAAAACATAAAGTTGACTGGGGAAAATACACAGCCCAAAATTAGCAATAACAATCTTTAAAAGGCAGAAAAATAAAGGTCTTTTTGCAGATTATAGAGCAAACTGGTGACATGTGGATTTCATGATTAAGAATTAGTAACATATTCTAATCAATTGTTCAGGGATCAGGAACATAAAACTCTAAGACTAGAGGATATTTTCAAAGGAGGCGAGGTTGAGCGAGCGGGTACCTCACTCTCCCCAATATATTAAGTTTCCCTCACTGAAAGCTTTGCTTGAGCCACTGAACTGGCTATAGGTGAAGTACCTTCCAGACTTGACTTTTTTTTTTTTTTTTGTAGTCTAGTTTTAAAAACTATTACCTAACATGAAAAGGCACATGTTAGATGACTTAAGTCAGGAATCTGTTATTTATCAGCAGTCATTTCAATGGTTTCCAAGAGCCAGTATCCACTAACGAGATTGGTTTGAAGGTGACATAAATGTGTTGTATCAGAAGTAAACACGATTATTGGTAGGTGTAAGGGTGTCTGCACCTTGGTATATTTTCCTATCCTCTATCCCAATCTTAGAAAGCTACTACACAGAGTAGGCACTCAGAGAAATTCTGAGAGTCAGAACTCACTTCACATTCCCCTTACAACCAAAGAGCTAAGTTCAAAAAAGATCCAAGATATATCACAGGCCATCAACCAATCTCAAACGGGTTACTCCCTGAAACAGGAAGAAGTCCCTGGGCACTTTTCGCTGTCCTTCAGTCCCAAGAGATGTTCCCTGCACACTACAAAATTGGACAGCCAGGCCCAGGCCAGGCGAGCTTACCATATACCACATGCTTGGCCACTTGGGGTCATTGAAGTAAGTAGACTGGGCACGACTGAAGTCATAATCCCTCTTGGTCCGTTTTTTTACCACTTGCTGTTGGATCCACTCCACCTGCCAAGGACAAGGACATCTGGTGAGCGTTCGAGTTCCATCAGGGTTCACGCAACATAAATGACAGTCGGAAGCATTTCCCATCTCGAGTCAATTCTGTTTAAGTCACAGGCTTCATTCTGGCAACTAGAAGCTCTGAGATTCTCTAAAAATCTAGTTCTATTTTATTACATAAAATAGAGTGGGTAGGCTTTTTTTTTTTGTCTTTTATAACAGATCATTCATGTTTCTCAATAATATGCTAACCTTTTAGTCCTTTCAGAAAGCATACACCATTCACAATTTATTGCAAATTGATAGAGTGAATTTTTTTAAGGTAATTTTTTCATTCTTTATACTAAAGGTCAGCAAATATTTTTCTACAAAGCTCCAGGTAATAAATATTTTAGGCTTTGCATGTCATATGATCTCTGTTGCAACTACTTACTCTGACATTGTAGTCCCCCAGGTAATGTATAAATGCATGGGAATGACTGTGTTCCCAATAAAACTTTATACACAAAAACAGGTGGCAGGCTAGATCAGGCCCACAGGCCAGAGTTTATGATCCCTGCCTCACACTTCATATCAAAAATTTTAAATGCTCTGAGATTAAACATCAAATTTAAAAGTCATCCTGGGATCAAATACTCTAGGATCAGAAATTTTTAAAAAAATGGCTTTCTACAAAATAGTGTGGTGGGAAAAGTACCGATTTGGGGAATCAGAAAACTAAAGCCCTAGACATGTCTCAGGCAAAAAATTGGACAAGTCCCTCCATTTCCTGAGCCATCGACTCCTTGGTTGCTCTAAAATTCAATTCAAACATATCGCATTTGACAAAGTCTTAATATTTAGCTGCAACTTTTGCTTAAACAGAGAATCTTGCACTTTCAGTTTAATACAGGATTGTAACTTAAATGGTAGAGGTATGAATGGGGGTATTTTTTAAAAAGAGGCAGTCCTTATGTCAACATAAAAATAAACGGGTTCCATTTTGAACTGAGATCTCAAGTGCAGTATCAGCCCTGGTGGCCTTCTACAATTTGTTTGTAAATTTTCTTTGATTTCTTCTGGTCACAGCTAATGTAGTCACAATAGTCTAAAAAGGTTCTGTTCCACCATTAATCCCTAACTCTTCACAAAGGAATGACAAATTGGGAGGGTGGGGGGAACTTGGTAGTCCAGTACTGAGAATAGACACCAATCCATTCAGTAAAGATTTCAAAACCTCTCTTGCATAACTGATTAAAGATTACTGGAAGAGAAGGGATACTATGATACTGACTAACAAACTCAAAAAATGCATAGCTGTAAATAAGATAGTAAAGGCCAAAAGCCAAACTAATACATTTCTATGATTCTCATATTGAGAAATATATTCAACAGGAATATTGGCATGCAAGATGATTTCAGGGGTTCATCCCTAACATCACTAACAAAGCAAAGTGAATCACGTGGCCTACTAAATAAATATAAATCTATTTATGATTAGGATCACAGCTAAGCATCATATATGAGCCTGCTCTGATAGGTAATTTAGGCAAAATTAGTACAGAAAAAAAGCGAATAAATGAAAAATAATATTCTGGAAAATAAAAGTTTTTCTGATCCTGTTTTAATTAATCCAGACCAAGTGACCCTCTGGCCCTGAACCATTCTACACCACACACACATATGCAGACACGCACACTCTGGATAAAAGGTATGCCATGTTTTTCTTCAAACTCCTGGACAATAGTTGTCCTGGAAGCTAACAGAAATCTTGTTTTTTCCTTAATTGAAGAAACCACTTTTTAGCAATTCCAAGGAAATTAATGTGGCATTTTAAATGTGTATAAATTTATTTTTAATGAAGAGAGTAATTTTTAAATGACTGTGTTTCTAAGAATATAGTGAAAAAAATCAATTTCCTTCTCAATCAAAGTGGAAGGGTAAGAATGGGCATGCTTATACTTCTCTATTTCCAGGAAACATTGTCAGTCTTTATATGGTGTGAGTTGCATTCATTCATTTATTCATTCAAAAAAAGGAATAAATGCCAATTCTATACCAGACACTGCGCTGGGAATATAAAGATTAGTAAGAATAGTCTTTGCCTTTGAAGGACTTACCATTTTACCAGGGAATATTTAGCAAGTGTTCCACAACTCTCCACTTCATAAAAATAAAATGATCGCCATGACTGACATCTGGTGCAGGCCATATTACTGTATCAATTAGACCATTTGTGAAAATTTTGACTATGCAAATTACATTTGCAATCCTCAGATTACTGTCTATAAGACCTAGCCCAATAAGACCGAACCACTGCATATTTGGACACTCAGTAAAAGAAGGCTGTGGATCTGTTTAGTTAGGACTCTTTTCAAACTAATCCTATATTAGCAGTGGCCTTTCCTAACAGAGCCTACATAAATTCCACAACTGCCAACATATATGTGTCCATAAAGCAGAAAGCGTCAAATCTCTACCAACGTGGGCTCAAAAAAGAGACTGTTAGAGACCAGGACGAGTAGATACTGAAGAGGGGGTGGATAACTGTTTCTACAAGGATGCTTCTACAATGCATCATACCCTATAACACAGGCAAACAAGCGGTACAAGAGGCAGCCATTTCCTAGATGAACTATACATACTAAAATAGAATAAAATGCCTTACCAAACAGCCGCTCTTCTGTAATTTTAGCAAACAAAAATGTTTATTTACAGGGCTTGGTGACTAGAAGGTGGTTCGGCAACTTGGCATGTAGCTTTGACTATATGTTACTCTGTCTGATCACAGGGCTGCAATACTCAAGAAAAGTACAGTGGGGATATTTTTGGAGTCAGATACCATGTATTTTGTCTCAGTGCTCTATGAGTATGTATATATAGCCCTACAATTTTTGGAAAGTGGGAAAAGCACCTCTTGAAGCGGAAGATTTCTATGACTGGAAAGACCATATTTATATTTTTAAATTACTACCCATATGTCTGTCCTTGAGCCCTTTAAGAAAAATCTCAGAAGTAATGCAATATACAGATTTCATTTCTTGCCAAGAAGCCCAATGCAAAGAAAAAGCACTTAAAAGTTCATTTTTATAAAACTACGGTCAGCCTGGGAGAATAAAAGAACTGTGTGCTTTCCCTCAATGGTTTAAACTTCTAAAAATGCAATTTCCTATATATTATGAAACTATAGTTAACCTAGAGTATAAAAACCACACGAGCTTTGGAATCTTCCGTCTATCCTTCATTAATTTCCACAGATATGTGCTACTTGCTTTTAAAGCCAGTCCTTGCCTTCACTCACAGAGCTCTCCCTCCTCCCTACACAGTCCAAGTGAACATCAAGCATTTGCCTCTTCGGAATCTTTGCTGAAGATGTTCTGTTTCATCAGATTTCACTTGTCAAGAAAAACACATTACGGGTAATTACGGGAAGGCTACCTCAACAATCTTAGCTAAACTCATATGTCATTATTTTGGAACTTATCAGCTTTATGATACCATCGACATGGGGAAGGCAATTTGTCAATAAGAGGGAAAAAATGTAATCATATGAATATACATTATACATGTTATTATGTAAATATCATGAGAAAGGCAGATACTGCGTGATATCACATGTGGAAACTAAAAAGAGTCAAACTCATGGAAACTGAGAATGAAAACTGAAGGGGTAAGGAGACAAGGGAGAGGCTAGTGAAACGGTACAAATTTTCAGCTCTGAGTAAGTTCTGAGGATCTAACATATAACATGGTGACTACAGTTGATAACGTATTGTATAAGTGAAATATGCTGAGAGTAAAACAAATATGTCCTCACATACACACAAAATAAATATGTGAGGTGACAAATATGCTAATTAAGTAGCCAGGAGGAATTTTTTCACAATGTGTGTGTGTGTGTAATGCATGTGTGTGTGTATGTATCAAATTACCACGACATACGCTCATAATATCTTACAACTTTCTATGTCAATTATATCTCAGCAAAGCTGAAACTTAAAAAAGAACATCATGGTGCCACTTTTAAAATATGTCCCACAGTGAGGAGGAATCAGCCTTTTAGGTAGTAAAATATATCAAAGATAATGATTAAAATATATTCTGGTAGCAAATATCTACAGATATCTCAATGACATGGAATGCCAAGTCAAAAAACTGACCTCAAAACATGAAAGAGCATAGCATACAATAAGGGCGCCATCCTAAATCAGTGAGGAAAAACAAATTACTTCATAAATGATGGTAGAACAAAAACCAACTGAACAGGAAAAATAAAGCAAACCATTCTCCCATCTTACATCAAGGTCAATTCCAAATGAATCATATTTAAATGTAAAAGTAAACAAAACCATAAAAGTACCATGAGAAATAGGGGAAGTTTTCAAAAATAATCTAAGAGTGAAAAATAATTATCTAAGTATAATAGAACCCCCCCCCCCAAAAAAAAAGTGAGTAAGAAAAACTGATATATTCAACTACATAAAAAATAAATTTGGCACGGCAAAAAACTTCAAAAGTAAAGTAAAAAACAAACTGGGGAAATGTTTACAGTTTTGACCTTGGACAAAAGGCTATTCTCCTAATATATAAAGAGTTCCTATAATTAATAAGAGAACACTTCTATTAGAAAACAGGCTGAAAAGATAAAGCAAGTTCCTTAAACACAGAAAAATATGCCTAATCTCATGCATGTAAAGACAAAAACAAACCAATTCTACATTAAGACAACACTTTTCACCTTTCAAATATGAATAATCTAAATATTGATAACATACTTACTAGTGAGTTAGTGAAGGGATTAGAAAATTGTCTTCCTATTGTAAAGGTGATGGGAATATAAATCTCTACAACACTATAAAGAGTAACTGACAATATCCACACAAGTCTAAAAGAACTAATTCTACCAAAAGAAGTTTATCCTACATATTTATTTACACATGAAACATGCAAGGTTATTTCCTGAAGCACTGCTAGCAATAACTAAAGTGTGTAAGCAACCTGAATATATATTGATAGGGATTAAATAA